TAGGGTGCTGTGCGGGTACTCCTAGGGGTTGCGAATCTTGACTCCAAATATGACTTCTCAAATCCTTGTAGTTTTCGAGATATGACGATTTTTGTAATTTTTTCAAAAAGCTTTCCAAAAAAATGTTTTTTTTTTCCATATTTAAAATTTTTTACCCTGTAGTTGGGTGCTCTCAGGGGCGGTGAATCTTGTCTCCAAATATGACTGCTCAAATGCTTGTAGTTTTCGAGATATGACTTTTTTTGTAATTTTTTCCAAAATTTTCAGAAAAATTTAACAAAGCTTCTTTCTTCAAAGTTTGAAATTCCCCACCCTGTTGTTGGGAGCTATCAGAGTACATTCAGTGGTTGGTAACCTTGCCTCCAATTATGACTCCTCAGTTTTCGAGATTTTACGTTTTCTATGATTTTTTCAAAAATTTTCAAAAAAAAAATTAATTAATTTTTTTTCAAATTTTAAAATTCCTTACCCTGTAGTTGGGTGCTCTCAGGGTACCCCCAGGAGTTGTGAATCTTGCCTCCAAATATGACTACCAAAATATTTGTAGTTTTCGAATTTAGATTTGACGTTTTCGAGATTTGACGGAAAATTGGAAGTCAGAAGAAAATCATAAATCGTGAAATTACCACTCCTGTAATTGGGTGCTGTCAGAGTACACTAAAAGCCTGCAGATCTGGTTTCCAATATATGCGGTTTTTCATGGGTGGTCAAAAATTCGAAGCATCGGAGATGCGTAACACGCTAGTCTTTTTTGAAACTAATTTGATTGCGTAATTGAATCATCAGTTTTCGGTTTGCTGATCTAGTCCTAACTTTTTTGGTTTACGTTTACTGATACATCGGTTTACTGGCCTACCACCGTACCAAAAAAGTCTGGGAATTTTTCTACTCTTGATATCACTAAATCAATCTTCTCTCTGCTTTTAGCTTCCGACTGACTTCGATATATTGATCGTTTTTACACTAGCTGCGCAGTGTATTAGTATGAACCTATTTTTTCTAAATACTCGCAAATAAATGTGCTCATGTGGCGGCACTGTTGCTACAATCACAACCTCTAGCATTGGAATGTTCATAGCTTCTATTCTCTGCTTAGTTTGGGTCTGGTGTTTTTGATCATTCAGCGTCTTTGAAAGTGAAACTCTTATTCTTGAGGTCGCTGGGTTGAAATTGCCGCATAGCAATTTTTTTTAAAAATTGAGGTCTATTTCTACTTTTTCTTTATAGAGCTGCTTTTTAAATCGTTTTCTCGCTAATGTTTTTGCGAAGCACAGCTTCGCATCTGTGTTGTAAGATAGCTTGTTTTTGCGCTGCAATGTTATGTCTGTTTTTTTTTATATCCGAAGGGATATTTTTGTAGATCAAACTAGAATAGATGTTTTGTTGATTTTTTGAGATCTTCGGGGAACTGCAGTGATAATCAAAAAGATCAAAATTGCGAGATGAAAACATAAAATCCAGTTATTTTTTTTTTTGCTGATTTCGATTTCGGCTGGTATGAGGTTTAGTTGTGTTAATAGTGCCCATTGTAAAAGCCGTCTTTTTTTAGCTTACAGGGAACAAAAAAGCCCTATGTCCGGCTGTAGCGGGCAGATTTGAGACCCTGAGTAGAACCGAATAAAACTCAGATTTTAAAGGGCGATGTGATTAGCTGCGTGTTTAAGGCATTTTCAAGGATCTTTCATAAGGTCCGGAGGGAAGTGCGCATTCAATAACGGTTGTAGATTTCAGGGGATTGCTTCTCTAGGTTCATTCTCTATCTTATCGACACTGAAAAGTGGTCCCTTGGGTAGTAAATTCAGCGGGGCGACCAATATTCACCTCTATCCACAATCCCGAATAGATCAAGTTGGATTAACTATTCTGTACTGTATGATGTTACTTGCCCCCTTTTGTACTGCTTTTAAAGCTGTCTCATCCGCTCTCACGATCGCAAGAATTTGTAATTCAATTCAGAAAATATAGGTCCAAGTACAGAAGGCTATAGGTGGCCAGAATATAATCTAATAAAAAAGAGGATCCGCGACCAATCAACACAATTGCGTAATTGCATTTTTAGTTCCAAATAATTCAACTAAACGATTCTCTCTCTCTCTAGAATATCTTAACTAGCGATTAACACTCAAATACTCAGTTCGACCTGCTAAAATTAATTGTCTTTACGGATCACTATTCCTTGGAGGTACTTTAACTGATTTCTTTAACTTCACAAGTCACTGTTCTCAACTCTGATGAGAACCAACTATTCTCTTCTAGAGCTAGTATCGTTCTGCTTAAATATAGGCTATTTAGTAATCACCGTGCTGTTTTTCTATTTGAGTTTTAGTTATAATTGGATTTATGATCGTCCCCACAAGTCTTGACATTTACTACACTTCTGCAAGATCTTTACTATATTTTTCTTTTGATGACACTTATTTTGAATTCCAAGTTCACTATAGGTATCTTTAACCAAGTTGTGCAAATATCAAGTCCAGCTTCTCTAAACCAAGTTATGTTTACTTAAACAACTTCCCAAAGTTATAATTTACTTGTCCCGTTAACATTCCGACTTCCCTGGGGTAAGTGAAAACGCTTTCATGGGTCGCTATTCGATTCCAAGTTCCGATCTATACTCTTTTCAAATCCCTATCTTTTAGCTCTTGGGGAACGTAATTCGCTTAATAGGGGTCAAATTGTACCATGAAGTCACCTCCTGTGAGCTAATTAAATATATCGTCCTTCAAGTTATTTAGGAGATCTACTTCCCGTGGTACGATCCTGTTACTGCCAGTTTCTTCTGGAACTACTTTTCTTTACCCTAATTGAGTTTTATTAATAGCTCATGCGCCGAGCTAAGCTGAACTCAATGTTGGTTAGGTCGTCTTTATTGAGTTCCACTACTTCAATATTAACATTTAGAAGCTATATCCCTTTCAGCTTCCCGATTTCTACTTACCAAGGGTTGGGGCTCGGGAAGGCGCCACTTTTTGTTTATCCCTGTGTTTTGTATGCGATTTTGGTAATAAATCCCTAAAGGTCATTTAAAGGTCAACCGAGGTAATAAATTTTGGTAATAAGTTCCTAAAGGTCATTTAAAACGCCAGACCCAAACATCCATATTTTAGTTCAGAGTCCCAAGAAGTTCTTACCTACCAAATTTCATTCGTATCCTATTAGTACTTCCCACGTTATCCCATTTCTAAGGTCCAATATCTTTTTTCCCTGGAAAAGGATAATAACACCTGAAGAAGCCGGGGTTTTACTCAGAAGTGGATTTTTTTGTGTTTAGTGCCTATTGCCGCTATTTTGCGTACATGGCCGGTCTTAAGGGTGCTTCTCCCAAATGCTTATAACTTCCGGTCCAACCGTCCGATTTGGCTTAAATTATAAAACATGATATCCTTTGTCACTGCCTATCATATCGCATAATTTAGCCTCACTGCGTTCAGTGGGGCCTAATAAACTACTTCCGGAAGTCGAGGTGGGGACTGTTTGCCTTGGGCGTAACACCGAAAATAGAGCCCACGTGGTCTGGGTTTCCCTAGCTTTAGCTTGCCTCATTTAGGTCTAACATTCTAAATTTTGTTCCCATTCCATTTGCTAGTTACCGAGTTCTAATGGGGCAATTTGCACTTCCGGTAACCGTTATAACCGGTGGCAGGGTGGTCCGAGTAGTCTAGATTTTAGACACTGTAACCCAGGAATTGTTATACGGTTCTATTGTATTTAAAAAATCCTAATTTTGAGTCTTCCATAATGTTTCCATAGTCGGTTTCCATAACCGTGCAAGTTACCTAATTTCCGTTTCTGCAAAAAATTGACAAGATATATGTAGAATTTGGCTTCTCACTTACTGCCGAATTATACCAAATTTGATTCACTTTTGCTATAGCATGTTTTGTAATCGGGAAGTAGACTTTTTCTTGTGACCTTGTTGACCTTGTTTGTTTTCAGTAAGTTTGAAATTCGATGTATGCTCATGTTTTGTCGGCTCAGTTGCCTCATCAGAGATTTTTTGTGCTGTGAGCAATTTTCCTTGTTCTTGCAAGCGTTGTTGATTTACTCCTGTTATTTGTTAATTTACCATCCTTGACTTATTATATTTTCGTTTGTTTTTTGGTTTAAAGCTTTCTTTATAAATAGTTTCGGCTTATGTTTTATCGTATTATCAAAGGTATTTTGTATCGTTTTAAGGGCAAAATTGATTAATTTTTCTACAAATCATCCAGGTCGATGGTTGTGTAAACATTCAAAATTTTAGATTGGAATCGCTCCAAGTTTGTTTGAAAAAAAATTTTTGAGGCATTTTTATTTGATTTTGGCTCAATTGGTCGCAATTTATTCACTGGTGGCTATGTTTATCGTTTGGTTTTTGAAATTGAAGTTTCACTTTTTCCGAAAAAAAGTCGTTTTTTTCGACTTACTTCCGTCTCATTTTCTATTCACTAGCTTGCAGTGCTGAACTTGCGTTGTATCACAAGTAATGCGACTTTCCGCGTCTGTTTTTGGCCTAGCAGATCGATACATGCAATTTTTGCATGCTTTCATCATTGTTGTAAACATTTTTTAGGAAATAATGAAAGACGAAGTGATTGTTGTGCAATATCAAAGGTTCAAACAGTCCTCATATTGTAATGAACAGTTGAAAAATAAGTTGGATTTTGGTTGTTCGAAAAAGTATAAGACGCCCGACAGACCTCTCTGGTCATGGAGCTGGATGAATTCGTCGACGAGTTTATGAAAAACTTCGGAAACGTCTCATGATGTGGAAAAAAGAATTTCGGATCGAGTGGATCTTTCGTAAAATGGCAAAAAATTCGTAATTTTTGAAACAATGATCACGGGAGAAATATATAGGCATAAAGAATGTCAATTCTGAAGGTGTTATCGTTAATTGACTCTCTCCTTTTGTTTCTGATACTTTTTTTACGGAGACAATTTTCGTAGTGTTTGTTACATTGAAGTGTTTGTAGATATTTAAATGTGATTATGAGGAACTATAGTTTGAGTTTGTTTTCAGATCTCGGATGCAACTAAATATGAAGTCGTTCAACATGAACAACCATTACATGCACTTTACAGGTAACAAACACCCTTAAGTCCCGTATTAAAAGACCAATTGAGAAGCTGATCAAAATTTTTGCATCGAAATTATTATTTGCTCCACTTTTTTCCAATGTGATGTTTCAGAAGCTGCGTGTGATCTATTTTCTGACATGGATGGAAACTATGGAACGAAATCAATCAAAAATAACATAAAATGTCCCAAGTCGAAAGACGAAATCATGAAAAATTTAGAAAAGCTGAACGTGTAAGCTCAACTTTGAACTTTTACAATTAATTGACTTGCTCATTTTAACACACTCAATGGTAAGCGATGCACAAATAATATATTCGAAACTAGGGGCGGAGTTAAGAAGGGCAGCCCCCTTAGGGATTCCACCCCATGCCGACCCAAAGGGTCCCCCTTTGTACTATTTTGAGATATCCATTTTTGGCTGACTGACTCTAAAATTTATCTAAAGGCGCCTTTGGCGCCAATATATACCAATTTTGAGGCGAAGCGCGCGACGAAAAAAGCGATTTTTTGGTTGAAATTTTCTGTTTTTTCAAAAATTTGCCTGGGGAGCAGAAAATTTGGCCAAAACAGGGTCATTTTAGTGCCTTGGGAGAGCTCGAAAATCACTGTGGTCGGCCTTAAAAAAAGGTTGACCAAATTTTCGAAAATCCACCCCACCTCGAGAAAATCCTAGCTCCGCCCCTGCTCGAAATAGATTTTACTTTTTAACAATTTATCATCGTAGTTTAGACTCTTATGTAGATCGCGATGATTTTTTTTCGTTTTTTTTTAATGAAAAGTTTTAAAATTTGTTCAAGCTCAAAATTACTTTTTCGCGGTTTGAGGAAGGCAAACTCCCCTATCGAACAGCGAAAGTATAAAGGTCACGAAAAACTTCTTCGACTTCTAATTTCGAAAGTGGAATTTAATTTCCAGCTTTCCCAGCGAAAAAAAATTTACTCATTGATCCAGTTTTCTCAAATTTGGTTAGTTTTATCAAAAATAGTGTCAAAAGTTAATTTAACTTTTTCAGAAAATCGAAAACGTATTTTTTTTTCTGCTGCGTTCATTGACTTTTTTCAACTTCTTGTTGGCTTTGTTATATATAATTGTCAATTTTTAACAAATTTAAAAAATCAAATTGGCAAACTTGGGGATATTGTTTACAATGTATGTCCTTTGATTTGCAATGTAATTTTGGCTTGATGTGGCGTGTAGGGTGCTGAAGGGAACTGGCAACACGAGTAGTCTGCTGTTGAGTTACTCCTACATGGAGAAACTCCACAAGGAGGCTCCCGAACTAGTAAAGAGTCTGACCAGTGCACAGCTCCTCATGATAACTCTCGTTAGTCTATCTACTTATGTTCGAGTTAATCCAGCGTCTACCCGTTTAGAGGATAGCCACCTTACATCGAATTTGTACTTCTTAATTTCAAGGCTGTTTTTTTTTTTTTTCATTTAACTTCTTCCGCTTTTCAAAACAAGTTTTTTGTTGTGTAAATTTTTGTGCTCGAAAGCAGTGGGTTCGCTTGAGCATTTGAATTATAACTTAAACTGTTCCTCTGGTCTAAAAATCGTTGTTTGGTCTAGTTTTTGAAGATCAATGTTTTCTATACACATGAGTTACTTTGATATCAATCTGGTTAAGCGTGGCGACTGATGTGTTTTGCTGATGTTTCAGTTGTTGTCAATCAAGTACCTGAATGATGAAGGCGAAGCTACGAAGCAACTATGGGATCTACTAGACATTGCAGGTGATATATTATTTCTAGAAAGAAACAGGTTGAATAACCCTTGCCCTTGCCCTTGCCCTTGAAGATTCATCCCATTATTCGCTAGAATATGCTTAGGTTCCGACTACTAAACTTCAAATGCGAGTGTTGCTTTCGCTTTGCGTGCGAGATCAGATACCACAAATAAACGTCCTTTGTGATCTATTGCAAAGCATAGTAAAGCTTTTTCAGTCGTGATTTGAGCTGGAATGTAAATAGCGCCTCTTTCTGATTAGAAATCTTTTTGATCATGAAAACATTGTGGTAATTATCTGCTGTAGGCCACCCGGAAAGAGATTTCAATAGTTTTCAATACGTTAAAAAGGCATTCCCATGCTAAGCGACAAGCTCAAGTATCAAATAAGAGATCTTACAGCCTTGATTTGATTTTTATTCCGACAAACTTTGAAATTTTATTTGTGCCGAAAATAATGGTTTTAAAAAACTGGTCTAGTACGAGAAGAACAGCAAAATATAGCCCCTCCATCCGCAAATGGTAAAGTTTTTGTTGAGGGGCTAGAGCTTTTATGTTGCTAGACGTGGGTGGGTTAATAATGGGAAAGATCCAGAAAAACTGTTTGTTTCAGAGAAGGAGATGGATTGTGTTGAGGATGTTGAGTTTGAAGTGTTGAATGCCCTCAAGTGGAGACTCCATATGCCCCCTCACAGATTCAACTCCCTCGCTCTCCTCTTCCACAGAAGGTACACACTCCTCTAAGACTCTTTGATTATTCTGAAAATATGAATTTGGAAAATGTAAGATGTTTCAAAAAATAGTTTTTCAATATTCGATGAAAAAAAATAACCTTAAAAACTATTTTTTGAAACATCTCTCAAGTTTTCAAAATTCAGATTTTCATCAAACATTGAAACCCATCGTTTTGATACCTCAGAGCGTATGCTTTTTTTGCGTTGGTTTGGAATAATATTGCTGGGTCCGTTGCTTCAGACCTTAGTAGACATAATTAAATGCAGTGAATCTGTTTGTTTCAGAATTCTGGGAAGCAAAATAAAGTTCCGTAATTTGGTTGACTACACAGATTTGACAGATTTTCTCACCGATCAGGAATTCTTTGAAAATTTGCGGGAGAGCATATCAAGTGGACTAAAGGTATGGATAACAGGGTATAAATATTATTAGTGTAACTAGCTGAAAATTTTTGTCAAGTGAACTACGGTACAATCTCCGCTTTGTATTTAGACAAGCCGAGCGTCGTGTAATACTACGAAACAACTTTTTCCCAATCTAAGTCGCTAAAAAAGTGCCTCATTTGTTGGCTTTTTGGTATATTCCAACAATCATAGGCATTTTTATAGCATGAGTTGCTGAAGTATTGGTGGGTAGTGTTAGTTCCTGCTTGATAAAAATAGGTTTTGTGAATATGTATGGAATCTGTTTTTTTATTTAAATATTTTGAGATGCTTTAAACATTCTTATTGTTTTCGCAAAAATTTTCATTTCTCTCAAAAAGTATTACTAATTTTCATAAAAGTTACCTATGAATAAACCGGCTACTTCTTCACGAGTGTGTTTATTCAGGTAGTCTCTTTTTCTCTAGCCCCAAGTGCTAATGCCTTCGAAAATATCAGTGGTGGAATCTTACACCCATTTTTTGGGTTTTTTTTTCAAATTTCTTGAAAATTACCCTGCCAAATTTGAGTTTAAGGTATAAATTGGAGAAAACAGTCAGCAGGAATTTCTATATAAGCAGCTACACCCTAATTTTTTGAAGAGTTTTTTTTTAAAACTACCCTGACAAATTTGAGATGAAGGATTCAACCGGAAGAACATGCGGTACTAACCCCCACTTCTTAGAGGAAAGCAATGTTAAATGTAGCAAAAGTCAAGTTTTAATAAAACTTTTGAAAATTAAGAAAAAAATTTTGCATCAATACAATTTTAAAAGCCATGAACGTAGTCACCGAAGTTAAATAGGTCTTAGTGATTTTTTTCTTTCAGGAAAAAGTCCTAAATTGCTTACGCTCAAAATTATTTTCTGGCTGTTTGACGTTTTTTTTTATCTTTAGTTCTTTAATTTTGTTAAAAGGAAAGAGCTCCACTATCGAACAGCAAATGCGTAGAAGTCATAAAGAACGTGATTGACTTCTAATTTCGAAATTGGAATTTATTTTACGGATTTCCCAGCGACAGAAAAAATTTGCCAATAGATCCAGCTTTCTCATTAAAAAAAATTATCTCGAAATTCTATCGGGTTTATTTTATCAAGAAAGTGTCAATCATAGATTTTTCTCAGAATTCAAAGAGCTATAGGATTTTTTCATCTCGAAGTTTTAATTTTTAGAAAGAGTCATTTTTTTCTAGTTTCTTTTGTTCATGACTCTTTTCCGTCATATCATATCATCTCTTTTACAAAACAAGTACCGCCAGCTTTGATAGGGCCCTAGCGTCTTTTTGTTTTAAGCGGCCATTGCACTGATGATATGATAGGTTATTTTTATTTTCTCGGCTAGGGGTTTGATTCCGGCACATTGCAGAATTTCTGTTAATTTTACTTTTTTCCGAACCTTTTAGAGCTTCCTTTTTGCCCTTCTCTCATTTGTGCTTGCGAAGTTTAGCTTAGGCATCTGTATCTAAAAATGGAATAGACTTTGTTAACGGAAAAAAAGCTGCAAATGGGATCAACCAAAACTGATGATCAGCAAATCAGGTTAATTGTTCCTATTTGATAAAAACAGCTCTAATGAAAATGTATGGGATCGGGTTTTTTTATACTTTTTGAAAGACTCTTTGGAAAAAATTTTAATTTTTTTCAAAAAATTAAATTTTTCTGAAACTACTCTATCGATTTTTTAAAAAGTGGTACCAATGGGAAGTCCGTCCACTACCCTGTGCCTGCTTTCCCTGGGCTCTTTTTACTTGCCCCATTTTATACAGCCTTCGGAAAAGTGTGTGCGGGGGTGAATTTTCGACCTATTTTTTTTTTGGATTTTTGACTTTTTCTATTTACCTTTTTACCGTTTTTTGAAACTTTTTGATTTTCCTCAAAAACTGCCCTCCCAAATCTAAAATTTTGAGTTAAATGGGTGGAACGGGTTGTAAGAGGCTCCCTTGCATGTGCGGCTTTGCCCAAATTTTCTTACACATTAAGTAGTGTCTCAGGGAAATTCCAAACTCACAAAAGTTTCACTCATATTTTAATAAAGCAATCAATATCTAGGTTTACCTCATATTTTAATAGAGCCATAATTAGGTTTTGGGTGAAGCCCATTTTCTAAGTTTTTGAAATTACCTATTTAATTCCGCATCAGAACAACAAAATCAAAATTTATCAAACAGTTTTAGCTGGGCCTCTAGTTTAATATGATGAAATGTTTTAAAACTAAAGTCAAATAAGTCATATCAGCTTTCAGTATTTTTCAAAAGTATATTCGACTAGAGGCCTGATAATGGATTATTGTTACTTAATCGCGATCTCAACATAACTAATCAGAATTGGTTTATGATATAGTCTTGAAACAGTTTCTTTCACTCATCCTAACATTTTTGCAGGTGTTATCCTGGGCTGTAGTGACTTACGTGACCCTTCTTGGTTTCACATCAGCAATCATAATATTATCACAACAAAAAGATACCACAAATGAAGGACTATGCGAAACAACCTCCGTAACAACAGAAACAGCAACTACTGTCACCAGGCTCCGCCACTCGGAATATCAGACGGAAATATCAGAATACCCAACAGTTAAATATCCGCAACCTACCAACTATATCAACCCCACCATGTGTTTTATTGCAACAATTGGATCCCAAATTAAAGACTGGATTTATAAACCAGATGTGGAAGATGACGTGTACAAGATGTCCGATTTAGCATCGTGTCTTAGATGCACAAGCTGGGCATCGCACGACAACGTATCCAAGCATCCGGGAAGACTTCCGAGTCGCGTCTTTCCGAGAGAAAGCACGAATGATGCAGAGCGAAAGGACGACGACCAAAGTACAACGAAATCTTCATCAGTTTATATGAATGAAAAAAGCAATTTTTATGAAAACGAATGGAACTTCACTAGATATCGATATGACATGAGACATTTTGTTATAAAAAGGGTGACAATAAGTTTCAACGCAAAATATTGATATATCTTTGGAAAATAATTACTAAAAATTTGAGTCACTATCAAGCCTTGGATCTATTGCTCTAGTCATACATAGGGTAGAAATTAAAAAATGAAAAAGTATGAACTTAACTTAAAGAAATTGATCATTCTTTTCTGCTTGTTAGAATTTTTCAGTAAACATCCAAGTCTTGAAGATTGTAAAACAGCATTAAATCCAATGTGTTGTTAAACTAATTCAATGTTTTTGAAGCAACTATGCTGATAAATTTAATTTTTGCGCATATGTGATAGCTTTTTTGCTTTAAACTCAAAGGAACCATTGTTATTTGTCATGTGGCAAATCTTCAAACGTTTCTTGCTTACTTTCAGATCTGTCATCATGTTGGAAGCACTAGACCGTTTTGATGCAAAATGTTTTTACCTCGAACTGAAAACAACTTTTTTTTCGGTTTGTCATGTTAGTCAAAACCAATCAAGCTGCGCATTTGTTCATTAAATCGCTTTTGATGGCCTAAGTTCTCAAAGTGAAGCTTGTTATGACTTATTATAAACTTCAAGTATTACACATGACTAGCAGAGAAAGTTAGCTCAAAAATCCGACAGTTTATTGCCGTCGTTAAAAGTTGTTAGCTGAGTTTAAAATGGCTGAAAATGCGAAAAATTCAGCTACGGACGAGGAAACCTTGAAAGAAGTTTGTGGCATGAACGGAATAAATTATGCCAAAATAGCCCAGAATCTTGTCGAAGACGTAGCCAAAATTGAAGTTTTATTCTCTCCTTTCTGCAAACTCGCAACATTGAAGCCTTTTGTCAATTTAACCCTTTTACGGGTTTTGAAATGCGATGTTGTAACTTTGGAGGGCTTACAATTCATACCCAAATTGCAGGAGTTGTATGTTATAGAATGCGGCGTTAGAACAATAGCTTATTTGGAAAACTGTGTTTCACTCAAGAAGTTGTATCTTTACGGGAACAAAATATCTAAAATCGAAGGTCTAGAATGCTTAAAAGACCTGCAAGTTCTTTGGCTAAATGCGAACCAAATTTCGACTATCGAGGGTTTGGACGAATTAAAACAACTTGTGAATCTGAGTTTAGCTGAAAACTGTATCACCAAAGTCGGAAACTCTCTGGAACATTTGACAAGTTTGGAAACGCTGGATCTAAGTGCGAACAAGATAACGTCGTTCAAAGATTTGACCAGCCTGGCCAAACTGGCGAGATTAAAGTCGCTGAGTTTAAAAGACCCAATGTGTGGACCGAATCCGGTGTGTTTATTATGTAACTGTACCACGCATATATTATACCACATGCCATCTTTAACTCACCTAGACTCGCAGGTAGTTACAACCGAAAGTGTCCGTGAAGTGGAGTCGATAGTGTTGAAAAAGAAGATGTACTATAACATGCGAGTGAAGACAGTCAGAAGAAATATGGCTGAATTGTTGAAGCAGCTTGACACAGAGACGAAGAAAGCGCAAAACATACCTGTTAATAAGTTATTAACTCTAACTAGGACATTGAGAAGTGTGGAGCGGGAGTTGATAGAATTAGGTGAAGGTTCTTTTGAGGAGCTGGAAACTTTCAATTACTCTGGATCAACGTCGGCGTTGGATCCAGCGTCAACGAAAGCAGCAAAAAATGTCGAGCATGATTCGACTCTAATCGCAAGTCTGAAAGAAAAGGTCATTGAACTCAAAAATGCGATTCTTAAATGGTCCAACTTGATAAAGCAACTCGACATGCAAAGCTCGGATTTCAAACTGCGGATCAAAAGCGTAGCAGAAGCTTCGATTCAAAGGCTGACAACCGAACTTGAAAGCGGTGGGAATGTGAGGTTCGAAGACGGTCTTCCGTCGGATCCTTGGTACACTTCATGTCGAGACCTTGTGATGTCTAGGTTCTGTGCATCGTCGCTGAGACAGTTCGACATTCAAGGGATTCGAATCCAAAGAATAACGAGATTACACAATCGCATGTTGAGACTAAACTTCGATGATAAACTGGATGATGTAATCGATGAGTCACAGTCAAGGAATACTTCCCAGTTTAAGAAGAAGTTTGAATACCTTTTCTATACCTGGAACCCAAACGTGCACCAATGTTGCAAAGATACAATGGATTTATACGAACAAGGTTTGCCAGATTTGGATTTTTACGAGTCGAATAGTGAACTTCCAGCGATTCCTTTGACTAATAGTGTTAGTTTAGCTGAAAAGCAAAGGTTACACAAGTTGCATAAGACGTCAGTTAAGCGCCTATGTGATCAAGAGGACGCGAGTCATGGCCAATTGTTGGTGTGTAAAGTGTACCTAGGTCGAACAGTGTTGACACATGACACATCTCGTATTAGTGCCGAGAATTTTCCGAACGTCGACTCGGTGTTCAACCCGATTTCGGCACAGAATACGACAGGAAGTTCGGCTCAAAATGATGCAAATGACTCAACGCAAAGCAAAACGGCAGTTGGGTCTGAAAATTCGGATGAGCATTCTAGCTGTAGCTCCAATAACACGGCTAACTCGAGCAATAACCAAAACTCAGATTGTGACTGTATCACAAGGCAGTGTAATTGGTTCCTATTCGATAAAGATCTAGTCGTTCCAGAATACATTGTAGACTTTAATTACAGTTTCAGAACTAAATCCAGTTCACCTTTCGTTAATTTACCTGACGGAGTTGGAATTCAAGGCCAAAGTTTGACCCTTACTGAGCGATTAGGAGTGAAAAGTGACCTTGAAACAGATGATACCGAGTTGATAAGTTCGACCTTGAAAATACTGCCCAATAGACTGAGGTTCACTTCGGCTTGCGAAGACATTCTGCTAAAAGTTACTGGGGAGAGTATTTTGACGAATATAACAGTTCTCAATTTGCATCACTGTGGTATAAACAGAGCGAAACCGATTCCCACGCTGCCTAATTTGACGAAGCTTATTATTAGTTATAACGAGTTAACAAGACTGGAAGATTTCGGTAAAATTCCAACGCTTGAATACCTCGATGTAACTTCAAATAAGCTAAACACATTGGAAGGTTTGAAAAACTTGACAATGTTGAAGTATCTGGACATTTCTTGGAACGAGTTATGCAATAGCAGAGATGACGTTGCAATATTACGTAAGCACGCGCCCAATATAGTTCACTTGAATCTCGCTAAAAATCCTTGGAGGAAAGCTGAAAATTTACGGCTGAGGGTTCTAGGTCGACTTAAGTTGTTGAAGACTTTGGACGGAACGCTAATAACAGATTTAGAAGTTTCGGCTGCAAATAAAGCCGCAGCCAGTGCTCGTGTTTCGCCGACGGCGCTGATTTCTAATGGCCGAACCGATTCTCATAGGCCGAGATCCTTAAGCTTAGCTCCCTATTCGGAAATCATGTTCAAAACAAGCAAAAAGAAACCGGAACGCTTTTCAGAAGTGGACGGAACCTGGCTGACTAAGATCACATGTTTGTATCTAGACAGTCAACATCTAAGCAAACTCTCGAATTTGGAAAGACTAGAAAGTTTGAAGTTTGCATCTTTTCGAGATAACGATATAACTAAAATCGAAGGTCTAGATAGCTGTGTAAATTTGGAAGAGTTATGCTTGGATAGCAATTGTATTCCCAAAATTGAAGGGATCTCAAAATTGACGAAATTAAAACGACTGAGTTTGAGTAATAATGTAATTACGCAAATTGATTCCCCCTCAACTGAAGCCTTGACTTCTCTATATTATCTGTCGCTAGAAAACAACCAAATATCGACTCTTCTACCGCTCAGTAACGTTGCAACCCTAATGGAGCTGTACCTCGGAAACAACCAAATATCCAACATTCGGGAGGTTTTTCACCTCAAAGGTTTCCAAAATCTGGTAATTTTGGACTTGTTTGGCAACCCAATAGTTTCAGCGGATGCCCAAAATTACAGGTTGTTTGTAGTCTACCATTTGAAAAGTCTAAAAGCGTTGGACGGAAGCGCAATCTCAAATTCGGATTTAAACCAAGCGAGAGAATATTTTGGCGGCAAGCTTACGATGGACTTCGTGGCCGATAAGTTACGCGTGAATGAGTTTACTCAAGTTCGTGAACTGGATTTTCCGAGTTGTGCGATTCGGTATGTGGACCTTGGAAATGCTAATCTATTTAGCAACCTCAGAAGTCTAAACCTCGAGCATAATTCACTATCTTCATTCAGCGGGTTAATTTATTTGGACAATTTGCAGGTTTTATGTCTAAATTACAACAAAATTGAGACTATTTTAGATTCAAAGTCGAGTAAAAACAGAAATTCAGAGGCGCAATATGGTTCAATCGAATCCATGCGATTTATATTGCCCAAATTGGAAGTTTTGCATTTGGGTTATAATGGAATTTCGGATATAGCCAGCCTACAGTTAGACAGAATTACATCAGTAAGATCGCTTTTCTTACAAGGCAACGACATTTCTGAAGTAGATGGCTTGCACGCTTTAACGTCACTTCGAGATCTAGTATTGGATCGAAACAAAATCAAAAATATCGGCCCGACAAGTTTTGTCAGAAACGAAATGTTAGTCGAACTGCATTTGGAAGAAAATCGACTGCGTGAACTAACAAATATTCACTTTCTTCATAGCTTGCAAAGACTGTACCTTGCCAATAACAGGCTGCAAGATATGTCCGAGTTAGACAGACTGGAAAACTTGCCTAACTTGGTGGAAGTGAATTTGACGAACAATGCGATATCCAGAAGGCTGTTACATAGACCAGTGTTGGTGTTCAGACAGCCTAATTTGGAAATCATCGATGGAATTTCGGTGACAGATGAGGAGAGACAGAAGGCGGATATGTACTTCATGGACCAACAGACCACCTTACAGGCACCCTCCACCATTCCCCAGATACAAATGACTGATAACATTCTACCAGGTAGGTTGCTACTTGTCTCTTCTTCTTCTTTCTTGTCAACAACAGTTGTTTTTGTCCTGACCACACTTCTAGATTGTGAAATAAACATATAAAGATGGCATACAGTCTTTTATTCTAATATGCTCACTCAACGTTTTAGATTAGATCGACATTTCCCACTTTTGGCAAGAATATCCTAACAATCTTGGATCTGGATAGCTTTGCAATTCTGCGGTACCTGGAAGCCTTTTCTGGTTTTAAAAAACAGCACCAGGGCTCATTAACTTCCTCAACTTGGTTTTCTTAATCGTAATACTGAACGAGGAACCTCTAATCTAAGTTTCCAAGCATTCAATCGTATTTTTATCGATATTACCTTTTCAGGTATTAAGTCGAGTTCCGTGAACAGTCCGATGAAAGTAACAAGCGTTCAATTGGGTTCGAGTCCCGGTCAGCACTTCGCTCTGGACGAATCTGGAGCCGCGATGACCCGCAACAGACATCAAAGGAGCTCGGGAGCCGCAAATGCCGGAGGCCATCTAGTATCGGGTCTGGCGGGTCAAAGGTCCGCTGGGAATATTAACATGACGACCAATGCTAGATTGTACAGACGGTTCTTCCAAACGCCTCCGAAGTAAATTAATACAGTTTGGGAAAACGCAGAAGAAAAACCAAATAAGTTTTTTTTTATTTCATAGCAAAGTGTCTCCCAGCTTTTAAACCCCAAAGTTTCTCCAAGGTTTGGCAGAATTTTATCCGCTGAGATTAGAAAAGTTCTGCAAGCTGGCTTTTTTAAGAAAAAAGTATGTTTTTCTGTGCTTTTTGATGCTTAAATTTATATTAGAGTTCGCTAAGCTAGCTTTAAGAGAGTTATAGAAACCATTATGCTATCAAATCATCTCAGGCTTGTAATTATTTACTGTGAAATTAGAGTGTAAAATTGTAAATACGTGTTCATTCATTGTAAATATTTATAGAAAGATAGATTTCATCAATATGCTTATAAAATTTTTGTTATTTACTTCATTTTCGAAAGGAATGCAATGACGAAAGGATGTCTTAAGAAAGCAAGATAGAAAGAAAAGAAAAGAGAGAAAAAGATTTATATTTCATTATTACTCCGACTTTGGACGAACGTGAGGAATATGGCTCTTTTCCGCTTTTCCCCGCCTTTTAATTTCAAAATTAAAAACCACTTAAATGTTGTCATAATGCACTGAAACTTGGCATGATGAGCAATCGCACACTAGAGAACAGATTTTTTCTTTGCTGTGCATCGTAAAATTAAGCGTTTAGCCATAATCTGCATGCGACAAAGCGGGTTTGCTACGCATTATCTCAAACGACCGTCGAGCCGTCGTAAACTGCTTGTTGAACTTTTTGAAAACTTTATCTAGGATTTTTTTCCGCAAAAAATAGTTCCGATTTGAAATCAGTCAAGCTAAATCAGTCATACAAGGACACATTATTTCTTTCCCCTTCATTTCAATTTTTTCTTAGCGACTTACGTGTTTTTATGGCTGAATGCGTGATGTTATGATTTAAGGTATAAATAGGTATCAACTTGATCACCGTTCAAAGTTTCATTACATTATGACAACGTAAAAATTGTTTTTTTTTCTTTTCTAAATGCGGGGTAAAGTGGAAAAGGGCTTAATTTTCTTACCAATCAAATTTCAATACTTGATTTTCAAGACTTTATCAAACCGGTATATAGACTTTCTTTCCGGGTTAACAACTTGTTTAACAGAATCACTTGAATTAATTGATATCTTGGTTCATAATGAATTCAAATTTCTAAGCGTCTTCGGCAGACTTAGTCTGGAGAAAACAAATATGCCTGGAACGCCAAAGGTCCTAGGTTTGAAACTTGACCTGTCCTTTTTTTTTCAAATGTGAAATAGTCAGCTTCAACAAAATTGTCGGCTTATTTTTGTCTGCTTATGTTTTGTCGGCTTAGTTGCCATATTGTAGAGTTTTAAAGTTTTCTTACATTATAGTTGCTTTTGGCTTTTAGTGGTCTGAATAACCTATGCTGTTTGTAATTTTACTGAATATATATATATATATATATATATATATAGGTTTGTCAATTCGTGCCGGATGACAAGTGTGACACTTTGGTTCGCATTCTAACCATAATTGTTTTAACGAAAAACTAAAACTGTAATAATAAATATTCAACAAAATAACCTGTTTAAGAATCACAGACGGTGCTTTGGCCACCAATTTTAAAGATAAATATCTGGAAAAATAACCAAGAAAGGACACGAGAAGTGTGAATATGAACTCTAATAACGTCATTAACCAATGAAGCTACAGTTTAGTCTTTTTCGCTTGAATTACTTTTCGTCAATACATGACGAAAAGCCTAAAAAGGGATAAAAACCGAAAAAAAAACATAAAGACTAAGAAGATGTTAAGTCCCCCTCAACCTCAAAACACAGACACGCACATATAAAACTTTTTTCGCTTGTCGAATGACGCCATATGAGGCCAAAAAAGGGGAAAAATCAAAATACATTATTTATATGTTTTGAAATGTTCTTCGTTTCAAAACAAATCAAAAAAGTCGAAAAAAACTAGATCTATTGAAATAATTAACGCTAGTTTTGAAACAAAAACATGACATGCCGTAGAATGTGTAATTAGTATCGGAAGATAATGTACCCAGCGGCAACAAAGTCAAAAAAACCTGGCCAGAAACCCTTAGTCTAAAAATGAAGAACATTTCAAAACATATAAATAATGTATGTTGATTTTTTTCCCTTTTTTGGCCTCATATGGCGTCATTCGACAAGCGAAAAAAGTTTTTATATGTGCGTGTCTGTGTTTTGAGGTTGAGGGGGACTTAACATCTTCTTAGTCTTAATGGTTCTTTTTCGGTTTTTATCCCTTTTTAGGCTTAATAGTTTTCGGCCTATTTTATATCGGCTCAGTGTTCTTCTCGTTTCTTTTGACGAGCAAATAAAGTGTTTTGAGGGTGAGGTGGACTCATTAAGATTTCAGAACTCTGATTAAAGGGTTTCTGGCCAGGTTTTTTTGACTTTGTTGCCGCTGGGTACATTATCTTCCGATACTAATTACACATTCTACGGCATGTCATGTTTTTGTTTCAAAACTAGCGTTAATTATTTCAATAGATCTAGTTTTTTCGACTTTTTCGATTTGTTTTTGTATCGCAAGTAATGCGAAGCTCAGCTTCGCCTCCGTATCAAAAATATTGGAGACCAATTAAAGGAAAGTAGGAAATACCAGGGCTTTGGCCTGATATAAGAGCTCTCTTGTTTTCCTTAATTAATAAAACGATTAAAAGTATACACCAGTTTGTAAATATAAGAAGGACAGTATAGAAATGATCAATTAATCAAACAAATTTCATTAACATCTTTTGACTCCTCATTTTATTGTGAGTTTTGCTGGACTCACACAGCTCACGCCGTCCTATTTCTACAAGAGAACGAATCATACGAGCGCATGTATGTTCTCCAGTGAAAGTCGAGAAGCAAAACGAACTAAATAGGACAAAAAGGAACAAGTTATCGAACTAGCTTAAGCATTGTTTAAATTTTTACGGCTGTGACAACTCCTCGAAACTATGGCACTGGGTTTCTTTCTTTCGCGATTCTAGTTACATCAAAGAGCTTGTAGGCGATGAAATGATAGTTAGTATCAAATCATAATAATCGCGATTCCCGCTTCGTCAGAAATCAAAGGCTAGTCCCAAACTCTCTGCTATTGAGGCGTAAATCTGGCAATAGGCAGATTACGTCGTCTTAGCCAAAAGACGAACTAATGGCCTTAACGTTTTTAGAACTTACAAATGGTTCGTTCATCTGTTTGAAAGCAGATTTTTAAGTGCTATTTATCTTTTCACCTTCAAAATGAACGAAAGCTTTTCAAACAATCCTTTTGTTCGGCTTTTGAAAATGATTTTGTGGTCGAAACTTTCTGTGCTACTTCAGCAATAACTGACTATTTGTGTTTTAATGCTTTCACCGTTTTATAGTGCAGGTCATATCATGAAAATGCATCAGAATTGTCAAGATCAGAGAACAGGTCTTAGCGTAGCTTCGGACAATTTCTTTGTGAAACGAACAGATATAGAATTCTAACCATTGTATGAATAATTTTGAGTTTTAATATTTTTTCTGATTTTGTGGCTTCATGCTTGGTTGTCGAGTTAACTTCTGTCATATTCATGGATGGCGCAAGCTTAATTGCTTCATGGTTGCCGACTTAAGTTCTGTCGGTGTCGGTTCCCAATTGTGTATACTGCCTTGCATTCACTACATGTACAGTGCTGATTTAAATTAACCGGACATAACCGCTAAACTTGAAATCTAAAACGGGTTTTTCTCTAATCGAGTTGAGTTTAAGTGAAAACTCATGAGGCAAAATTTTGCCTTAAATTTTGTCAGGGGAATTTATGTGGTGTAATTTGTTTTGCGAAATTCATGCTCAAAATTTTAACCCAAAAAATGGGTCAATTTGGCTTTTCTTAGTTAATCAAAAATTATGCCGAAAATACCCAGTCAATCACAGACATAATTATATCAAAGTTAGCCCCTCACGTAGCCCAACAAACTTTAAGAAAGGTAAAATTCGCAATCCGTTTAAAAATTGTTTTTAAATAAAAAATTGGTGTTTTATATAATAAAAACGACCTTTTTGTCGATCAAATAAAAATAAATGAACTCATACAGTGTTTTGGAGAATATACTCTTCATAAAGTTTGTTGGGCTACGTGAGGGGCTAACTTTGATATAATTATGTCTGTGATCGACTGGGTATTTTTGGCGTAATTTTTGATTAACTAAGAAAAGCCAAATTGACCCATTTTTGGGATAAAATTTTGGACCTGAATTTCGCATAACAGGTTACACCATTTTAATTCAGCTAAAATTTTAAGCAAGTTTTGTCTTCATAAGTATTCACTTAAACTCAACCCAACTTGAGAAAAACGTGTTTAAAATTTAAAGTTTAACGCGTTCTGTCCGGTTAGTTTAAACCAGCACTGTATTGCAATCGTGAATCCTATTTTAGAGTTTCATACGTTTTCTCCCAAAAGTGCTGTGCGAAAGTGTTTGGTTGACTTTCAGCTTATTTGGTTGTCGGCTTTAATTCTTGCTCAACTTTCGATGTTATTTTTGAGATCAATTTTGCTAAAACTTTCGATGTTATTTTTGAGATCGATTTTGCTAAACTTTTCGAGGTTATTTTTGAGATCGAAAGGATTCTGACAATCGGTTTTCGAACGGCTAAATTCAATTCGACAACTCCAAAATCAACACCTTTTTTAAAATATTGTATAAAATTTATATGAAAAAATTTCATAACTTTTTTCTTGGTTTGTTAATTGATACATGGTTCGACATCCTCCTTACTACTTCTTCGGAGTCATGTTGTCTTTTTCTTACTTTTGTTGTATCGCAATTGGTGGGAAGCTCAGCTTCTCCGAGTCTAAAATTCTCATTGGAGTTGAATTGAGATAACAGTATCTTTCTTAAATTTGGTGTCGTTCAGTGTGAAAAAGGAAAAATTTACACCCGTGTTTCGAAAAACATAACTTTTTTAAAATGAAAACCAAATTACAGCTGAAAGGCCTTCAATATGGTACCACATATGACAACCTACGAATTTTCTTTGAGGTCGTCAAAATCGGGCAGAAAAAATCTATAGCTAAATCATAGTTTTCTCGCACTAAAATTGCACAAAGTTGCCTGGAGTGCTTTTGAATTTGAGGAAATCATTCAACTTCAAAAGCACTCGAGACAACTATATGCCTTTAGTTCTTATACATGTAGTTATTTCCGATTTATGAAAAATAATTTCTTCGACTTCTGGCCTCCGTCTCGTTTTCTGACAGAAATGAGACGCAATGCCACTATGTTTGTGTTGTATCGCAATGTCGCGAAGCAGCTTGACTTCGACTGTTCAAGTTAATTAAAAAAACTTTGTCAAGGTGACACCTTAGACCAATTTTGTTTGTGAT